CTGTGGCTCAAGTGGTAGAGCGCTAGCCTTGAGCTGAAGAGCTGAGGGACAGCGCCCAGGCCCAGAGTTCAGGCCCCACGACCGGACCCAAAAAAAAAAATTCCCAAAATGGTGTTCTTACAAAGAATACTTTAAAGAGCAATTTATCAACTTACAAATTTTTATTTTATTTTTTGGTTGGTCATGGGGCTTGAACCCTGGGCCTGGGCGCTGTCCTTGTGCTCTTCAGCTCAAGGCGAACACTCTACCGCTTTAGCCACAGCACCACTTCTGGTTTTCTAGTGGTTTATTGGAGATAAGAGTCTCACAGATTTTCTTGCCCAGGCTAGCTGTGAACTGCTAAACTTGCAATTTCTTTTTCTGATTTTTTTTTTGTGAAAATACTGTACAGAGAGGTTACAATTACATGGGCAAGATAATGAGTAATTTCTTATCAAGCATTGTAACCTCCTCCTTTGTTTCCCCTTCCCATCCCATCCTCCCCCACCACCAAAGTTGTAACGTTTGTTTTCCACATAACGACTTGTAAGTGTCATTATTGCAATGGGTCCACCTGTATCCCTATTTAAACGATTTGTTTTTCCCTTCCCTTCCACAAATTATACCAACATCAAATACAGTGAAAGCAGGGGTTATACCATGGGGGAGGGACATACAAAGCAACAAAGAAATAATCTTATGTGTTAGAAACAATCGCATGAAAGAAAAAAAACATTTGAATACATATCTTAGGGTTCATTTCCTTAACATCAACTTATCTGACCTTTTCTGCTTGACTCAGACATATAATAGTTATTGCAAATAAGGGAAACCATGGGACCTATGTTTCTTTGGGCCTGGCTTACGAAGCTTGCAAATTTTTATGAAATATATCAGAACTGGAGGTGTGGCTCAAGTGGTAGAGTGCCTGCCCAGTGAGTGCAAACCCTGGGTTCAATTTCCAGTACTGCCAAGAAAAAAAAAAAAAGGAAATCACTTGGTGGGTCTATCTATCAACTACAGGGATGAGGATTACTAACTCAGAAAAGAAGGGTAGTAACTTCACAAATTCAAGCTCTGTAATCTGGCATCTCTTCCACCAGAGTGCCTTCTCGCAGAGTGCTTTCTCAATTTTCCTATTCAACCTTAAAAGCTCAGACCTCTCCTTTTTGCTGTGTCTTTGGAAATGTTACTAAAATAACATTCATGCATTGCACAACAAAATAAGTTAAATATTTTTCAGTCCAGATTGTGCTTTATTCACTTATTCTCCAGTGCACAAAACTTGACATTAAATTTTTTTTTTTTTTGGTAGGTTGTGGGGCTTGAACTCTAGGCTTAGGCCCTGTCCCTGCACTTGTCAGCTCAAGGCGAGCGCTCTACCACTTGAGCCACAGCACCACTTCCAGCCTT